TGGATTATTCACATCACCTGCCTGATCACTGTGGGGTTTGTGCTTGCAACCCCTGCCAGGAGCAAGGTGTTAGGAGGCAAGAGTCCACGCCCTTGCCTCCTCAGGGAAGGGAAGGGGGTTATATTTCCTCTGTACAGATGGAGAGGAGATGGCTGCTGGTCCTGAGAACTTGGCTCTGGGGAATTCAGTCCAACGATTGTCCCACACACTCCTTCTCTCTTGATCTCTCTGTGGCATAGGGAGATTAGCATCCTTCAGAGGTGAGGTGGCCACTGTCCAATCTACCAATGACCATACCCATGGATGCTTATGGAAAAAACTCAGGGCCTGGGCAGCAATCACCAGACCAGATGCACTTCCTGAGGTGTCTGTGTGGTAGCAGCCCTGGAGCAGCTGGGCACAGCTGGGGTGGTTGCCATCCCCACCTCCCTCCGGTGGGTCCCTGAGCCAAGCCAAGCTACCCTGTCATCAAAAGCCCTCTTGAGTATGCAACTGCTTCCCTCGCATGGACCACCTCCAAGCTGGCTGCCATTAGCCTTTATGGTGCCTTTGCTAAGTAGCAATAGGAGCCCCTTCCTTAAGACCGTTTATTTCCATCTGTTAGAAAATTATGGCAACATACTGGCTTTGTTAGATGAGGTTTACTGCCATCTGCCAGGAATTATTGTAATAAACATACAATATCTACTGTGTGATGAGCAGGCTCACAGAAGCAGTGGCTTGCGCGAGGCACAGCCCGCCCTAGTCCTGACCATCCTGGGCAGCGGAGGGACGCTGGCGTGGAGCAGGGTAGAGCTGCAGCGGGACCAGCCTCACGCACAGCCCAGTCCTTCAGACTCCTGGTGTCCCCACCCGCCAGCTGCAGGCGCAGCCCAACCAGTAAGACATGTCCTTGGGGGAGAGTGGGTTTCGTCTGGGCTTCTAGCTCTCCTTTCTGACCAACAGCTTGATCTGCTCCTGGCTCCTTACCCTGAGAACTGAGGCAGAGCATGAAAGAGTGGGCAGGGGATACATAATCTGGCTAGGAATGAAGTGTGTGACTTCTAGCTTAACAAAAAAGTCATTTTTTCCTTCCACAGTGACAGAAGGAAGAGAAGATGACTTATGCTCCTCGTTTACACAGTTGGCTTCATCCACTCTCCTGTCTCATGACTGATCCAAGTTTCTGAGAGTTTTAAGATTCTCTAGTCTTGGTCCCCAGGGGAGGACAGGGGTTGCTGTGGGGGAGAGCACACTCCTGGTCTTCCCAGCACCTGCCTGGGGCCAGTCTGTGACTCAGCTGAGTGTTTTATGAACTCTGACAGAATGTAAAGAAATGATAACCCCCCCACAACAACAAACCCCAAAAAAGAAAAGAACCAAAGAAAATGGCCCCTTGGAGGTGGTCATTTGAGGACATTGTTCATTTATTACACTTTTAATGTTCTTCCCTTCACCGCTATCACCTGGGAGCTAAGCTCATCCAGGCGGCCAACTTCCTTCCAAGGATGCTGTCATTACTCAGACTGTTAGGGAATTCCTCCACACCATTCCCAGAGCCTGTTGATTCTTATGGCTTGCATCAGTCTTGTCATGCTGTATTTGGGGTGTAGGGTGTGTTACCTGAGTTAATGATCTTGCTTATCCTCTGGACTTGGCTACCACCCAATTTTGGCTATGTCCCAAAATCAGATCTGCCCTCAACGGACAAAGATTTACTCCCTTTGAGGATAGGCAGGCACTGAGGGATGGAGTGTCCCAGAAAGCAGTGAGAGTTATAGAAAAGAGAATGCCAATTCTGAAGTTATTCCTGAGGTTTATTGACTGCAATTTTTTCAGTCAAAAGTATTTATTGAGTGCCTGTAGATGCTGAGATAAAGCCATAGATTAATGGCTCCGCCCTCACAGAACCATGTGAAGTGCAGGATGAGAAAATTAGTTGGCTACATGTATGCAAGATGGTGATGAGGTAGACAGAAAATAAGCAAGGAATGCTGGGGACAGGCATGCAACTTTTCTGTTCAGGGGGCTTCTCCCTGAGAGGGGGACACTGAAGTCAAGACTTGAAGGAGCTGAGAAAATGAGCCACATGGATTTAGATAAGACACAGAAAGATTCTGAAGTAAGGAGAAAGGCGCCCTCTGCCAGCTCAGTGGTGTCGCTGCCCACTGGTCAGCATGCATCTGTCCACAGCTGGCCACTTGCATTTGCATCCTCATTGGCTAGAGCAAACAAACACTTTCCTATTTTTTTTCCCAGTCTTTGTGATTACAATATTAATGACACATAATATTTGCTTAGGTGGGCATATCATGATTCGATAAACCCAGCCCTCATTGTTAGTTGTCTCTTGATTTTTCACAGCAGCAGAAGGCTGACTGTGAGCATCTATCTATGTGTCTAGATTTTTTTTCTTGGGTTGCTGATTTCCTTAGGATAAACTCCCAGAAGGGAAAGGACAGGGTCAAAGGGAGTGTGCGTTTCTGTGGCCTCAGCTGTACGACATAGTATGTATCCTCAGGGCACAATGCCCATTTCTAGCTCTAAGACCCAATCCACTAAAAATCTGTTTCCTTCTACACCTCACTTTCAACTTCTGTGAACATCCTCCTAATTCTCCCACAGCTTCCCACAAAGACAAACACTGGCAGCCAGAGAGAGCGGACACTCTTGGGGGTGGGGTATCTCAGGGCTGGGGGTTCCCCAAGCTGCTGTCCCCCAGCCAGCCCGAGAAACAAGCTAAGGTCTGCACTCACGTGAGCTCTGGGTAGACGTTATCCAGGTACCAGCGGAAGGACTTGCAGTTCATCTTCTTCCTCTGCTCGATCCGTGTGGCCACACTGAAGAAGGAGGCGGAGCATAGGCTTCAGCCAGTGGCATGCGAGGCACCCCCAGGCAGGATAGAAATCCCTTCCCAGGCCCCAGGAGATCAGATGCTGTTCTCCCCGAGCCCAGGAGGGCCAGGAACAGGAGCCATCCAAGCCCAAAGTGGTCACCTATCTCAAGCCACCTATCCTCTGACCTAGAAGCTCACCGCTCATTCCTCTCCTCAGTTTCCTGCTCCCACTCACATTTCAGGATTAGCCAATCCCCAGGGGACCAAGTACTACTCTCAGCTTCTCACTCTAACTGCTCAGTTGGAATCATTGACTGGTCCTCAAGTCCATAGAGAACTTTCACAAACTGAAGTTTTCCTTTCCTCCATTCCAAATTAGGAGCAAGAGCCTAGTGACCCCCCAAAACAGGCTTTAAATATCCTTCGGGAACTCTGGAAAACAAGAAGGCCTCTGCTGTGCCCACAGGATACCCTGGTTTGTTCTCCTCACCATCCTCAGCTACACTGGCCTCTGTCCGAGGTTGTGGACAGAGGACCTAGCCTCTGAGCCTCAGCATCTTCTGGAAACTGAGGACACGAACACCTGCCTCAGGCTTTGTGAGAATCAAATGAATTCAGGGCCATAAGTGATGAGTAGAGAGTAGGGTCTCAGTAAGTATTATTGCCCCATTAAAAGGAATACTTGATGACAAGTATTCCTTTTATTTTAAGGAATAGCTAGAAACAAATAGTGGAAGATTCACTGACGATCACTAATAAAGCTTGTAAGTTTTTCTGACCATAGCTTTAGAAAGGCAAATAGTCATCCTATATGGTGAGCCATATACCCCATGTACATCTGTAGGTACACATACACACTCCCCTATATCTGAAGTAAGTTTCACAAAGCAGTATGTATCCCTAATTGCAATCAACTGTTATTCTCTATTCTGTTCCGTACAAAACTATAATGTTCTAGTTCTTTCCACCATTTTTCCACATGCTAGTCACAAACCATTGAGGCAATCCCATCACCAATCTGCATTTTGAAAATGCTGAGCTAGACTATAGTCATTACAGTTCAAGCAGGAAACTGGGCTAACAGATCATCATCAGATTCCAAACAACTGAGGGTAGAGGAAACCCCCCAAGTGCTTTCTGCAGACAGCGGGCCTCTAATACTTGTTCATCTTGCTGAGGCAGCTTGTGAACTGGCACTTCTTTTTCATGAACAAGTTTCTCTACTTTTTTTTTCCCCATGCCTGCTCCTCTAGTCCGAGGGTCGGGCCTCCACATTGCATAGCACAGCATGTTTCAGTTATAAGACTATGAGTGCTTCCCTGGCATATTTTTGGCACATTTTGCTACTGTGGGTGGAAGGAAGCAGACAGGGCTATTGGGGGGAGGGCCCACCTGCCAAAGGCCTTTCCAATGGCTGAAGGCCGAGCCTCGTAGTAATATTGCTTGTATTCATCCATCCACACCTCTGCAGTACGCTTGGTATTCCTGAAAGGAGAGGAAGGAGTAAAATAAGGTCACCAGGGTGGTGACAGAGTTAGAGTTTGGATCAAGTTCAGCTCTGCACAGTACAGGGTAATGAAAGAACAATACTGACTGGGGTGGTATAAATGAGTACTTCTAGAGAATAATTGCTCTCCATCAATTCTGTAGGTATGTATACTCTGATGCTCCACTCAAAGAAATCTATTTGACTGAAATACTTGCAAGTGGGCAAAAGGAATCTGTAGGAGGATATTCGTTTAATAAAACACTGGCAACAACCTAAATGCCCATCAGTAGGAAGATGATGAATTATTTCCACGTGCTGGAGTACTAGACAGTCTTGAAAAAGGATGTATTGACATAGAAGGATGTCTGTATTTAGTGCAGAGTGACAATGTGCTGCAGAAGAAGCATATAGCATGTCCCCATTTATATAAAAACACAAACACAAGCCCATGGGTTTTGTCCATCTCTGTCCATGAACTGTACGTTGGAAAATGAAATGGTAGACCAGGAATCTATTGACAATGGTTATATCTGGAGAGGAAAGTGATACAGGAGTAAGGCTGAATAAAAGGAAACTTCACTTTCCCCTCCTCTATATTAACAATCAAAATTACACATATATACACACATATATATTGTCTAGACACCACTTGAATTTTTATAGTTATTTGTATTACTTTTATAATTATGAAAACAAAAATGGGATGGGGAGAGGCAAAACAAAGTGATGGACTGTTTGGTTAATGAGACTTGGGGAACTGTTGCTCCAAACAGGAGCCTGGGCCCAGTAAGACAAACAATCATCCTAGGGAAGGAGGGGTGAGGCCACCCCACCCCCGCTGCCCTCAACAGGCAAGTGTGTCATGGGGTGTTCTCCCAGGACCTTGCTTATTACCTCCTGAGACCTGTGGCTGGGAGAAGGATGGGCAGACAACCCAAGGGGGTACAGGGGGGGATTGGGACATAGCATCCATGGCAGAGCATGGTGCCCAATGAGTGGAGGGCAGTTTCCACTCAATCATTTGGTGGCCTTTCCAAGACTCTCAAGAACAAAGTGAGTCAGAGCAAGGAAGACACTCCAACTTTATCTTTCCACTCCTGAAAGGACCTGGACTCCCAGAAGAAAGGACTGGAAGGGAGCAAGTGGGGAAACAGACACAGGGAGGTGTGGTGACTGGCAAACTGACAAGGCTGGGGTTTAGAAGTAAGTGTCCTGGCTCCTAGTCCAGGCACCTTGACCTACCTGATGTAGGTGAGGGCGTTGCCCTCAGGGAAGTTGTAAGGGTGTCGTTTCCTGAAGACATGGCCCACCCGGCTGCAGGGCACGATCTCCAAGCTTCCACCGCACATCCACACCCTGAAGGAGAGCTCTGCAGGGGACAGCAGGCAGCTGTCACAGGAAGACCCCCTTGGCAAGTCCCACTGAGTGAACGCGGAGAGGGCTGCCTCCCTCCCTGTGGTGTCCCCGGGGAGGCAGATGCAGGGATGGGGGCTTCTGGGCTTGTTCCCATGGGTTGCACCCACTCTTTGCAGTTGATCCTAACTGCACATCCCATACATGTGCGCACACAACCACACAACTATACCTCACATACACCACACACACATCAACTCTCCACACACACACGCCCTCCACAATGCCACACACACCCCTATACACACCACATACACCTTCTACACACACACATTTTCACCTGTATATTACACAGACCTCTTCACATATATACACCATCCACACACACCAAACACAACCCTCCATATACACACCACTTTGCATGTACGTTCTCCACACACACAGCACAGACATACACACCATATACACCCTCCTCACACATCATATTCATCCTCGTACACACCACATGCACACATACCCTCTACATATACACAACCTTCCACACACATACCCTATACCTGCCTCTCAAAGTGGCCACTCTGTCCTCCACTCACTAATTGTCATTTCTGGCAAAGACCCCTGGGCAAAAGACTGGACCTCACATCATTTCTTGTGTTCCTGCTTTCTTTGATTCTAGCCCTATAGTTGGGTACCCTCTGGCAGTAAAACACCGTTCTGTCTCAGAAATCCACAAGCTTTGGGTTTTAAAATTTTAATAGATATTTATTTTTATTTATGCAGTCAAGAATTGGAGTGTAGGCCATTGGTTTGAGAGTGAGAGGATCCACCAGAGACAGAGTGGGGAGCAGGACAGGTGGATTGACTGAAGTACACTGCTGAGGGGAGCAGTGGGAGGGTCAGGAGAGGTCTGCCGCGCCATGTGGGTCAGCATCCCGGCCGGGGATGGAACTCATCCCGTAGTGGCTGCGGGTAGCTTGATAGTGCTGAGACTTAACTCCTTGCACCACCAGGGAGGCCCCCAATTTTTTAATTAAAAAAAGAAAAGGAAGGCCACTCTATCATGGGATCTGGCCTTGGTCCCTCTTCCCCAGTTGGCCGAGAGGACACTCATAGTCCTGGGCACTGGCGGTCTTCCACAGCACAGTGGCAGCACCCTCCCAGCAACCAGAGTGGAGAGTGGTGGGCAGGACCAAGGCCAGACTGTGGTGGCTTTCAGATATGGCCCAGGGGCTTGGGTTGGACATTGGATGATCTGGGAATATGTCATTTGTCAGATGGTAACAAAGCGCAATGGAGTGAAATAAAGCAGAGTGGGGGGCCTGAAGAGTGAGTTAGTGATCTAACCACAATTTCTCCCCTTTCTCCCTGAAAGGGGAGATCTGGACTGCAGGAAGTGCTGAAGCAAGTCACCTGACTCGTAGGGAAAGTGCATTCTAGAGAATCCGGCCAGGGCAATGTACGGGCAAGTTCAAGGTGTTCCACAGAGAGAAAAAGGCGTTGAGAGCTGAATTCCTGCTGCTGGTGTGTCCCTTTGGTTAAATGGGGGGTGGGGGGGTGGGGGGGGACGACAAACAGCATAAGGGCTTTTTTGAGGGTGACCCTGAAGTTGTGCAGGTTCTTGAACTGGGGGTACACAGATCTGAGTATGAACCCAGAAGTTTTTGCCTTTCTCATCCCATCCCTGACCAGGGCTCCCCAGTGTGCCTCCTCGGGATACAGTAGGAATGACCTCAGTTCGGGCATATCCTTTCCTTCAATGAAAGGATCAAGCCCACCAGCAGCTGGAGTCTCCAGGCTCCAGCTCAGCTCAGCAGCAGCAATGACTGAGCACCCTGGCTAGCCAGACAGTTCTTTGAAATTCTGCTAAGAGACAAAACCTTCCCAGAACCACTCCACCTTTCAAGTTCCCCAAGCACTGAGCCCTCGCCCCAGGCAGAGTTTGAAGTTTGCTATTTGATCATTCACTGGTTTCTCTGTCAGTCCCCAGACAAAATAAAAGAAAAAGAAAAGGCTGTGGATGCAGAAGAGACCATTCTTTCCCAGCCCTTCAAGTCTCTACAGGAAACAGACTTTGAGAGCTCCCTGCAGGCTGAGACCCAGGACACAAACGAGGTCACTTAGGCCCCAAACACATGAAAGGAGGTCAGGGCAGCGGAGTCGGGCACCCCAGCTCCCAGAATTTACTCTTCCAAATGCCTGCCCAGAAATGACTTCCAAGAGTGTGTTACAAAGGGGAGAGAATTTTACGCCAGTGTCCATGCTGGTTGGTTTTGAGTAAGGATCAGGCCTGTTTTACACCCCTCAACTCATTTGTGTCCCTGGGGTGAGCCCCACCAGTCTGCTTATGCCTCAAGATACCTGATCAGGATGAGAAAAGAAAGAATAGCAACAGGATGGGCAGAGGACTGGCCCACCCCAAAAGCAAGGACAGGCTTCAGAGTGCTGCCCTTCCAGGGACCTCCACGGGGTGGCTCTGGCCCCCCTCTCAGGAGGCTCTGTGTGGGCTCCCTCTGGGCTGCCTTCCTGTGGCTGGCAGGCTCCGGAGCCGAGGCAGCAGCCACAGGCCAGAGTGGGACCAGTGAAGGTGGTGTTCATCCTCCTCCCGCGGCTGACAGTTCGGGCCCCAAGACCACAGCTCTCAGACTCAGGGGCCAGCCCCTCCCAGCATGGCAGTCACCAGCCCAGCCCAGTGCTACAATGTCCGCATCAGTGCGCTTTTAAACAAACCTCCTTAAATGATCAGTGGTTATTCCATCTGCTTTGGACCTTTATCTGGGGCATGACCTGGGGCGTGTCCCGGCTCTTCACTTCCTGTTTTGCCCATGAGGAAACTGAGGTTCAAAAAAGTGACTGACTTACCCAAAGAGGCCCTGCCATACTTAGGAGAGTAGGGGGTCTGGCATCTGGTGTCCACTCTGTGGTGTGTAGGGGTCCGAACACCAAGTACTGAGAAGCGAACGAGGGCCAGCTTTCTCCAGAATCTTTTTGCCCCTGCCCTCTCCTTCAGGGAAGGGAGGAAAAGGAAACATCCCTTTCCTCCTGAGCTAGAAGGTTCCTTCAACGAGGACAATGGCCACCAGCACTGTGCCACACCTCCTTTGGTACTCTGAACTCTTGAGGAAACTGAGGCTTAGGGACACGTGAGCTTGCCCAGGGCCAAATAATGTGTAGGATCTGTCCCCAAGCCATGTGACCCTGTGACTTCTAGTTAATAATCACTCTCTTTGGCAGCACCAGGCTGTATCCCCAGCCTTTCTGGGAGGGAAGACAGCACCTTATTATCTCTAATTTCTTCCACATAAGTCAAGCCATGTGGTCACAGGATCTCTTTGACCACCTACATCTTTGTTTACGAGCTGTGTGACTCTGGACAAAGTACTTACTGTCTCTGTGTCACAATTTCCTTGTCAACAAAAGAGAGATATTAATACACTCAGAGGGTCATTGTGAGGATAAAATACGTTAATGTGAAGCCTTAGAACAGGGCCTTTGCACAGAAAATGCTCACTCAGGGTTATCTGTTATTGTTATTACTTCCCAACTTACCGAAATTCTCTCCCCCCCAGATGTCCATCTGGGCATCGTACTTTCCCAGATGGTTAAACCAGGACTTGTCAATCACAAAGATTCCTCCAGCTATGACAGGTGTCCTGGGAACAAGGAAAGGAAAGAGGCTTTGAGGTTAAGAGATGTGGAATCCCTCTCACTGTCCCCAGGCCATTTGCCCCAAACTCTCCTGCGAGTAGTCACTGAGTCAGAATGTCTGGCCAGGTCCCAAGCCCCTGATTCTGGGATCCAGAACAGAGTCAGCACTTAGACTGTGCAGTTTTGGAAGCCCCAGAAACTGACACCGCCCCTGAAATGCCCCCATGCTCCCTGCCGAGGGAGGAAGGGGCCTCCAGGAACCCACAGCTGTCCTGACCTGATGGGCTGCGTGGGGTCTGTCCGGGCAATCTTCTGCTCCAGAGGGATCTGCTCCCACTTGAAGTGCAGGCTCCAGTCAAATCCTAGGAGATAGAGCTGGGTGAGGAGCGAGCACAGGGCAGAGCCCATGGGAGCCGATGCCCTCTCATCCACCACCCCTCAGGGGCTCCCTTGACCCAAGCATCCTTATTTCTTCTTTCAGAATGAGACAGGTCTTTGCCCTCATGGAGTTTCAATCTACTGAGCAAGACAGAGGCTACAGAGCTAAAATTAGTAAAGGGATATGTCAGTTGGGGATGAAGAATGCTAAAAGGAAGAAATTCAAGGAGGGATGCCCATATTATTCCAATTAGGATCATTAGGAAAGGCTAGCTGAGCTGGCATTTGAGTGGAAAACTGAATGAAGAACTAATCCAAACAGAGAACCAGGGAAAGGAAATTCCAGGCAGAGTAAACAGTAAGTGTAAAGGCCCTGAGGTGACTTCCCGAAGGAGAAATGCTTGACTCCCCTCAGAACAACACTCAGCCCCCAGATCTACCAGCGATGCCCACTGATCGGAAGTCTGGGCCCCCGATAGGAAACCGGCTCTGCACATCAGCCCCCAGCAACAGATTCTCTAGAGTCCTGTCCTAGAACTTTCTGTGATGATGAAAACATCTTTTATCTGTACTGTTCAACATGGCAGCCACTAGCCACCTCTGAATACTGAGCACTTGAAATGTGGCTGGCGAAACTAAGAAACGGAACTTTAAATTTTATTTAATTTTAAGTAATTTAAATTTAAGTAGCTAAATGTGGCTATTGTCTAGTGTGCTGGACAATACAACTCTAAAGTCTAGAACCGTGCTGCCAAAAGAAATAGAATTCAAGACATATATCGTTTAAAATTTTCCATTAGCTCTATCAAAAATAAGAACATATGAAGCCAATTTGGATAATCTATTTTTAATGCAACGTGTCAAAACCATTATCATTTCAACATGTAATCAATATAAAAAAGTACTAATGAGATAGTTTACATTCTTTCCTACACGGACTTTGAAATCTGCTGTGTGTTTTACACTAACGGCCCATCTCAATTCAGACTGGTCATATTTCAAGAGCTCAGAAGCCAAATGTGGCTCACAGCTACTGGGTTAGACAGCACGGTATAGACAACTTCCAGGTGTACATGTTAGGAATTCATGCAAGGCTGAAGGCTCCCCCTCCACCACCCTCCAGACAGTCGCCATCATGTCCTCTGCCAGGACTTGGCTGTGCTTCCTGGGCTGGCAGCATTTGGGGACAAGTGTCAACTTCGGGGAAGGGAAAGATAAGAGAGTAGCGTGGCCCTGCCACTCAACATGCCAGGAGGCTGCAAGTGCCAGCTCTGACCCTTGTCCCCACCCCAGGACTCCACCCAATCCCGTTTCATTTTCTGGAGGTATAGGGGAAGCGGGACACTCTGGCACAGCTGGGAAGAGCACCAAGCCAGGACTTTAGAGTGCCCTCACCTGCTTCCTTTCAGGTCTAGAGCCCCTCCCCTGGGAGCAGGACCCACCTCCGCGAAGGTCAGCAGATGCAGCAAGGTAGGCAAAGTTATCCAGGCTGATGACATCGATGATGGGGCTCACCACGCGGGTGTGGTCCTGGAAGAAAGATAAAATGGTGTGAGGACAGGGACAAGGAAATGGAAACAAAACAAAGTCAACCTGCCTGATCATCTGGAGACCATCTCTCCAGAAAAGGGGACACAATTACTTCCTGCAGGCATGTCAGTGTCCCAGAAGCTGTCCTACATCGCCACTCCAGGTTCCTGGAAGGTTCCACCAGGTGCCATCAGTACCATGCTCTCTTTCACACACTATGTTGAGTCCTGCAGGGAGCTCACCTTCTCAGTGAAGCCCTCCCTGATTTCTGCAGGCTGAAGGAGTTCTTCCTCTTAATCTGCTCTCACGACTGCTCTCACAACTAGACAATTCCTAGGACATGAATCATGTGCTGGATAGAGTAGCTCTTCTATTGCTGGTTTGAACTGTTGATTTATTAATTCTCATTCACCTTTGTGAATGTTTGGATTGAGTCTTCCTGATAGGATCACCAACAGCTTCAAGGTAGGGATCCTGCAGTTCCCAGGTCATGTGCATCTCACTCCTCTCATGCCACATACACTTCAAGATCAGACACAATAGTTCCTCTATCACCTCCCAGGTGCAAAAATTGGTGAGTAATATTGATTTTACCAAAGTTTATGTTGGGGGAATTAGAGAGGTAGTGTTGGTACACTCACAACTTCCAAAACGTAATCATCAGCTCTCTTCTCTCTTTCTCTCCAAGGAGCAACATAGGCTCTTCTTTCTTCTCTCTCCAAACACTGAACGGACCTTTAAAATCTTCTTGTCTGCAACTTAGAGTTCTGCCCTGGCCCCTCTCCCCACCCAGTGTCCCTTCTGCATCAGGCCAAACGCCAGGGAGGTGGCAGGTTAGGAGAGACCACTCACCACTCATGGTTTCTTGCAGTGCTCTCTGGGGACCTCACCTCATCTTTTTTATAGACTTTTGCTACAGAAGTTTACTCTTTTGGTAAGAGTTTTAGTCTAGAAAATTGACATATGATCAGTGTTACTATTCTAAAGTGCACCATTCAGTAGCACGTAGTCTATTCATGGGCAGTGCTGCATCACTGTCCTCACTCCAGGACACTTTCAGAGACCCCCACCCACTAGCAGCCACGCCCCCTCATCGCATCCATTAATTTCTCTTCTGTTTCCATGGAATGTTTGTTCTGGACATTGCATATAAACGGGATAATATACCAGGTGACTGGCTTCTGTCACTTAGCATGAGGTTTTCAAAGTTCATAAATCAGCACATGATTCTTCTTTATGGCTGAATAAATTACACCGAAGGGATAGAACACATTTCATTAAGCCACTTAATGGTTGATAAACATCCGATTGTTTCCATGTTTTGGCTATAAAGGATAATACTGCTCTGAACACCTTGTGTACAAGTTTCTGTGTGAGGTATGTTTTTATTTCTCTTGGGTGTAAATACCCGGTACAATTGTGGAGTCAACTGACTCTGTGTTGACCTTCTGAGCACTACCAGAAGCACTGACCACCTTTTTGGTTATTGTCTGCTAGCACATATCAAGTGGTATCTCATTGTGGTTCCGATTTATGTTTTCCTAAAGCCTCAATGTTGTACACCTTCTCATGTATTTGCTCGCCACTTGAATATCTTCCTTGAAAGAAATGTCCATTTAAATCCTTAGCCCATTTTTAAATTGGGCTATTTGTTTCTTTATGGTTGGGTTGTCATCGCCTCATCCTCTCCCCCACCTGTCCAAATTCTCCTCATTCAGAGATGGCAGAAGCCCCTTGCCCTTGTCTCTGTGTCTGTAAACCACCTTCTCCTCCCTCCCTCTCCATCTTCCCAGCCCAACCCAGCTCAGGACCCTGATTCTCCTGCAGGCAATCAACACCCATGCATTGAGGAGCTTCAGCTTTCATCCGGTTTGATCCCCTCACCCGCCCAGCAGGACTAGCACCACCATCAACCTCATTCTCAGGAAAGAAAGCTCAAGAAGAAAAGTCCCTGAGGAGGAGACCATCTGGACTTCCTGCCCTGCCTGTCCATCCTCAAAGATGGTTCCACACGTCCCCAAGCCAAGAACGTGGTGGGCACCTGAGGACACAGCTCCCAGGGGGCAGACGGCTCACCTCCTTCACCCGCTGCAGCATGGGCTGGAGCCACTCGGTGTTCACTTCGCAGTGGCTGTCCAGAAAGGTGAGCACAGTTGCTGCAGCCACATCTGCCCCCCGAACTCGGGACCGGATCAGCCCTGCAGTGGGAGTGGACAGGGTTGGTGTTGACACTGGCCCAGCGTTTGCTTCCTGGGACCCCTGTGAGGTCCCAAGCCTTTCCACACACACACGTCCCCCCACCCCCAGGTTACTGTGATTCAGTGTTGCTTTGTGTTTGTTTATTTCTTCCCTCGCTTCTTTGTCTCACTCACCCACTAGCCATCATTAGCTGGAAGTCACTGCCTGGCTGCCCTCCTGTGGCACACACTATTCTGGGCCCCAGGCACACGGATGCCCCAATCACAGATGAGTGAATCAAGTGCAATCAAATGTGTTTGGTACCAGAGAGCCAGAAAGCAAAACCCTTTCCTCAGGGTGGGTACCTCCGATGGTACCATTATGTGTGACATGGAGAGAATCTTCTAGACTGAGATGGGCTTGAGTTAAAATACCTGCCCCTATATTCACTTTGAGCATATTACTTAAACTTCCTGAGCCTTGGTTTTCTCATCAAGAAGATTAGGGAGTTAACCCCTGCCTGTTGGGAAGAGCACCCGGTCTAGCTGGCCACACAGGCTGGATTCTGTCCTTTCCCCCAGAAAGTAGTCTCCCTGCCAGCTTGGAGAATGACCTCACTTCTGGCAGCTCCCTGGTCAGGGCTGAGGACTTTTCTGCTTGGGGAGAGGAGAGCCAGCTGGTCCTGCCCTGATAGCAGCCCCTGGCACCCTGGGAGCTGTGGGGATGGGATATAACTCTAAGAGCTTGGAATACAAATTGTTTCTTAGGGATATTTCCCGGTCCATCACTCTGCTCGATTCCTCTGACTATCCCCCCATCTGTGTCAAAGCCCATCTGCCCCCTCCTTCCAGTCCCCAGTGCCTTAGCACTCAGTCATAAATTTACCTTGCCCATCAGGCAAAATCCCAGGGCACAGAATGTTCCTAAATCTAAAGACACCCACGACCTGGTGCTGGGGAGTGATTTTACTGTCATTTCCATTCCAGACAGACTGGTCATCACCCCTCTTTCTCTCACCTTCAGTGGTCCCCCACTATCTTATCTGTCTTATTAAGTCTCATGGCCTTTCTCTGGCTTCCAGGTCCTCTGTCATGTAGCCTTACATTTCCCCTGCTCACCTGGCCCAGATTCTCCCTGGGAGGGGGAAGACAGAGGCAGGTGAAGAGGCTTTGGAAAACCAGGGTTGGCACTCTGCCTTTTCTATTCATCACTCCAGGCAAATGACTGAACCTCCTCATCTGCAAACTACAGATGAGGGGCTACAGCTGTTATGAACTCTGAACAGGTGCGTGTAGGCCAAGTGAAGGCCTATCCCCAAGGGGCCATCCATGTCCTGCCCTGCTTCTGAGACTGGCACACCTCTTCACTAGTCTCACAGGCCCCCACCCAGCTAAGGCCCCCTCCCTGGTCACCACTTCTCCTCTGATCTGCATGCTACTCCCATACAGCTATAACTGGCCTCTTGCTGTGGTGTATCTCCTCGGCCACAGAACACGGTCTGGGAGGGCAGGGGCAGGCCTTACACTTCTTTCGTGCCCCCTGGAGACCAAGCTCAGCTCTTAAGCTGTAGTTGATGCTGGAAGGCTCTCTTGATTAGAAGTGAGGCTATATCTGCTTTATAAATTCTTTAGATTTTCTCAAAGCATTTCCATACAGCTTGTCTCCCTCATCCCTGTAAATCAAAAAGGGAGTGTTCCTATCCCCATTTCTTGAAAGAGACCACCAAGGCAGCCAGAAGTGGAGCCACTGGCCCACAGCCATGCTGTATAGGGCTGAGCTGGGACAGCTGAAGGTGACACCACACACCTTGGGTCTGGCCACAGGAAGGCACAGGCCCATGCTGGCCTGGTGAGACACCAAAAGAGAGCGGGGAGGTGCACAGGTCTAGCCCACAGTGACTGTGTAGTGGCACCCAGGGTCCAAGAACTCACCTTCCCGTCGGTCATTGCGGAGACATTTGACCTTGGGGATCCTAGTCAGCAGCAGGCAGTCTTCAGCTGAGGATGGAGAGAAGGAGTCATGCCCATTCAGGTACAGGCATCAGACCACGAGTGGTCCAGCCGCCTCTGGAACTACCGGGGAACTGTCTGGCATCAGGCCCAGGGAAGGATGAGGCTGGGGGAGGCCTGAGGGGGTGTGGTCTTCATGTGCTCCCAGGCTGGACCAGGGACTGCCTGTAGCTCCAGCATCACCCCCAGGGGGCGCCAGAGAGCACAGCAGTGGCCAGACCAGCACTGGTGGAGCTAGACTGAAAAGACTCCTTTGTGTATGGTGCTTGTAATAAAGAAGGACGCTGCTATGTCCATTTTTTAAAATGCCGCTGCACTGGTGTCATATCAAGGCAACACCATTACTGCTCCTTTGGCATCAGGGAGAGGGCCAGGGAGGACACATAGAAAAGAAAGAGAACCCTGGTAGGGGACAGATGTCAGTCTGTGATGGCAGTGTCACTTCCAGAATGCTTGTCTCTGTGTTCTGGGGAAATAGGGAGCTGGAGGGGTGCAAAGGAGGTAGATACTCACGATCAGAACTGAAGTCATCCACTAAGATGATCTCCTGGATCAGGCTGGCAGGAGTTCTATTCAGGACGCTGGAGAAGCAGCAGAAAGAACCCGACGGATGGGGTCATCTTGCATTTATCTCTCCCTGCCATAGGGTTGCCCCTACCCCGCCACCAACTTAGCTCAGTGGCAACACACAGGCAAATGCTAGCAAGCCTTCCAGCCCTGATCAGTGGTTGAGAAACAGTGTGCTCTGCAGGCTCTGCTAAGGGTCCAGCTGACCCTGCTTCATGGACCCTCAGGCACTTGGGACACTCTCCAGATGGGGGAGGGGCAGGGAGGGCTCTGTCTGAATGGCCAGGGAGGGGCTGTAGCTGCTCCAGCTGCCTGAGGCTTGTCCTGTCTGGGGTAACCCCCAGATGGAGCCAGAGTGGCCAGCTCAGCTCAGGAAAGCCAGTGAGGTTCCCGTTGGCCTAATGGCAGGATAGTATTCTCAGAAGCCCCTCCACTCTTTCCTTTCAGGGTGCTCCTCTTCCTCGACTCCCTGGGAAAGGAAACCCAAGTGTCTTTACCACCACTGGGCACTCCTCTCTGACTGCTCCTCTCTCTATGTTCACTGAAGAACCAGGGTAAGCATAGGTTCACTTTGACCACAAGGCAAGGCTTCGAGGGCAGGGGGGCACTTCCCTGAATGACTGACGGGTGTCTACGGGGCTGCCACCTGTGCACCTGAGACCTCATGTCCACCCCGGCCCCCCTGAGCTGACCCTGCATCTCCACCCTGTCTGAGGAACCTGACCTGGTGTTTGTGCATCTTGCTGACAACTGCACTCTGGGGTCTCCCTGACTGATTCCCCCTCCCCAGCTTCCCAGAAGGGCAGTGAGGGGACGCCTGTTGGGCTTCATGCTCTCTGGGCATAGCACCCTACCTCCTTGACCCTCAGTCAGGGGCTCAGCAGATCACCCCGAGGCTTTGGAGGCAGCACTACTGAGATAAGGGTTCGGGGGGGGGGGCTCACCTTTTCACCGTGCGCAGGAGGGTAGAACGCGCTTCATTGTGGAAAGTGATGATGACACTGGTGGCTGGCAGGTCCAAGGAGTAGGACATGGAGGGGCAACTGAGGAAGGAGCAGAAAGGTCAGATGGCAGCTGTGGGAGCAACACGGGGCAGACTTGTCCAGGCTGCCGCCCCCTAGCCCCCCTCCGAGGGACAGAGAAGGCAAGCTGAAGACTGGTACTACCCGACTCAGGTCACCCAGCCTGGGTCGTGGAGGGAAGCAGCAGCTGGGGGCCTTTCCAGGCCAGGAACCCACCACCAAAGATCTGGCCCACCCAGAGCCCAGTGGTCACTGAGGGTTCAGGAGGGCTCCTATGTCACACACGCAGGCTCCCCACCGGGCCAGGTCCGTCCCTGCAGACCCGAGCCGGGCACACAGGGAGAGAGGGGGGAGACGGCCTGCCTTTGTCTCTGACCCCTAGCTGTTCCTTCTCCTCTCCTGGCTCACGACAATCACGCCTCCTCAGCCTGTGAATTTCTCCCTCTCACTGCCCAACACTCAGCGCCCAGACACCAGGAAGAGCGACAGTCTCACTCCTCCCACGGGCGGGCGCCTGGGACGCCTGGCGGAAGCTGATGCTGGGAGAAGACACCAAAGGCATTTCCCGCCACCTGTTCTCCCCCCGCTGAGCCCCACCAGATATGGACACCCCATTTTTGGCTCCCCTGGACCCCCCTCCTCGGAATGGAGACAATGCACTCCTGCCTGACTTCCCCCTCCTTCGGCAAATGCATCCACTCCACTCCTGGGCTGGCAGGCGGGCAGGCGGCGGCCGCCACAGCGGCTTGCTTCTTTATAGTGCAATCTTCTGTATTACAATTGCTCTCTGACTATTCCAGCAATGACTATTTTTTCATTACAGCATTCATTCCTCTGACAGCAGCTTACAGCCGAATTCCCAGGCCCATTTCCGGCCCTCCAGAGTACACAATGTCAGACAGGCAGGAGTCCCACCAGCCTGGGACCCCCATGGGAGAAACCCTGAAAGAGCTTAAAATAATCCTCCTTAAGAGGGGATGTGGGGTTGTAAGAGGAGCAGGAAGGGTCGGGACAATCACTTCTTTTTCTTTTTTTTTTTAAGATTTATTTATTTATGCATACTTCTTTTTTATACAAGAACTGGGGTACAGGCCAAAGGTGTATTAGTGGGGGGTGGAGAGGATTCACCAGAGACAGAGTGGGGAGCAGAACAGGCAGATTGAAACATACTGCTGAGGGGAGCTGTGGGCCAGACAGGAGAGGTCTGCCTCGCCATGTGGGTCACCTCCCTGCCCGGGGATCGAACTCATGCTGCAGTGCCTTCCATAGTGCTTTAACCCCTTGAGCCACATTCACTACTGCCCCACCCCCTCAGGAAGGGGCTTGGCTGCTGAGACAGGGAGTGCTGGGAGAAACAGCCACTTCCTGAGTGCCCAACCTCCAGCACTGATCTCTAGGGCCTATGTTGCTTTTCTTGAACCCCAACTATCTGGTGACCAGGAAGGAGGGAATCTGGAGAGCAATGTCCATTCTTCACCAACCTACTTTCACTGCATCTGGAGGGAGGACTTAACCTCCTCCCCACCCCACTCTTCACCCTGCATTTCTCTGCGACGTAGATTTGCTGGCTCCCAGGAGCCAAGTGCCTGGGAAGGGTTTTGTGCCATGCCTGTGTTTTGAGTTTGGGGCTAGTGGGGTTTTCTCCGATAGATCTGTCTTATATGGATTAAGTTTGTTTGTTCCCCTTAAGGGGGCCTACATAGTTTAGGGCTGAGCCAGAAATAAGTGTGATAGTTTTGAGTTCAACAGACATGGGAGGGTCAAGAGAAAGAGGGTGGTCCATGCCAGATGGACCATGGGAGGCCCTGCCCGCCAAAGCCACTCCTTCCTTGCCCCTGCCCCCAACACAGGCACACATATACACATGTGCACAGGCACGGGAGTGTGTGACACACCTTCTCATCCACCTTGGGCTTCTGAGAAGCCCAGGTAGCAGCAATGGGGAAGGCCAGGTAGCAGCTACCTTACCAACCCACCACTGACATGGCTTCAGAGAATCTCATTTTTAAATTAACAAAGGCTCGAGAGGAAGTTCCCCTTTAAGTTCCCTAGTAAATAGGTGGCAGAGATGGTGAGATGATGCAGGTCAATCCCTCACTCACAGATTTGAGGCAGCAGGTCCTCCAGGCCCTGGTGCGCAGGTTGGCTACAGCTAGGGCTGCCCATGAAAAGTTTCCAAGTGAAGCCTCATGGACGTGATTTTTAGACTCCACAACAGACAGGCATGAGGGAAGAATGCCCCGGGGCTGACTGAGAAGAAACTCCAAAGCCTGAAACTGGCCGTTAGATCTGGGTAGGGGCCCTCCCCAGTAGCAGGCATTAGGGCTTCCTCTGTTGGTAACATGAGTGATTTCTGGAGGCTGACAGTGCCAGGTGACAGGGACGGTGAGGAGGACCTGGGAGCCCCCTAATCCCATGTCCATCTCACCTTGTGCAAGCATAAGCCCACTGTACCACAGGCACATCTCCATGAGTGACAAGGAAGGTGCCAGAAGCAGACCCCTTCTACACCTTTATTGTGAGAACAGTCTCTACGTTCGCTCCGATCTGAAAAATTTAAGTGCTTATACATTCAATTCTTGTCTCTGCTTATTGGCTTTTTTGGATAGTGATGGGGGCAGGACCCAGCCCTCTGCCCACCAACATTGTCCCACATTTATCTTGTGCTCCAGGGCAACTGCTGCAGAAGGAAAAGCACTCTTGACCCAAGGCATTCTCACCTCCCTTCAAGAGGGCCACACAGAGGCATAAACCGCGTGTGTGGCTGAGTCCCATGCAGCCCACGCTGGTCATTCCAAACTGCTGCCCTATCAGTGGGGCCCCGCAGGCCCTCCCTGCCCTGTTAGATGTCACATGGAGCACAATTAGAGCCAGCCTCGGTTGTCAGGAAACCTCCCTGGGAGGAAGGACTCTGAGAGGAGCTGTGAAAATGCACGTGTATGCACAGACACGCAGACACGGAGAGGAGACTGTATGTGTAGAAAGGAGGAAGGTGGCAGCAAGAGCCCGGGTGGCGAGAAGTACCAGGTGAAAGTGATCAGGCGGGGAAGCGGGCGGGAGAATTCACTCAGGGTAAGGAGCCCAGACTGGTCCAGATGGGAGGCCTGGCAGAGGAGAGACTGGATAATCTGGACAGGATACAGCAGGGACTGCCCCAACTCGCTCGCTCCGAGGGGGAAGCCAGGGCTGATGTTGGAGCGGAGGGTGTGGGGTCCTTCTCACCTACTGCAGTGGGAGAACTAGGAGCAGGGCTGGGCAGCATTTCAGGGAGTTGTTGAGGAAATGGGGCCAGGGCTGTGTTAGGGAGAGAAAGAGGAAAGGGGTGCCAGGGTGGTGCACAGCAAGCCCTTGTTTCAAAGCTCCCAGGCTGGGGCCTCTCTTCACCTCAGGGATGGCCAGTAAGGTGCCCACAACATCTGGTTCGCCCACCCCCTCGGACCTCTCTAGGGTGCCCTGGGAGGTCATTCTGGCTGGACTCCAGATTGAGGTGCTAACAGACATCTCTGGCCTGGGCTGGGAAGTCTCCTTAGTCTTTGCCGGCCTTCCCTCAGCGGGTCATTGGTCAGGAGACCCGTGAAATAAACAGAAAGCCCTCTGAAAATGGAGGTTCGAATGTCTCAACAACTAGATTGAGTCTAACGAAGTTTTTTCATTTTTTAAATCCACGTGACTGAAAGAAAACAAGCCAGCAGTGATGGCCCTTCCCTCCACCTCCGTTTCTCCGTTGGCATGATGGAGGCCGTACCTATAATGGCGGGTGTCCCGGATGGGCCTGTCTGGACTCAGCTTGTCGCTCTCCAGCTGGTTGAAGGCGTGCTGCCTGTAGGGGTCTTCTCCGGCCTTCAGCTGCTTGGCTGCCAGGTATGCCTTCTCATCAAAGCCTCTAGAGGGCGTTCCTGTCACCTGAGACAAAGGTCAGCATCAGCGGGGCGGGGACAGCCTGTGTGTGAGGAGCTCAGCAGTAGCAGGTGGGAGGCACCGAGCTGGGTCTCAAAGGTCCTTCACCCCCAGCTCCGTGAACACTATGGTTGTTTCCCCCATTGTACAGGTGAGAAAACTGAGGCTCAAGAAGTTAGAAACAGAACCTGCGTGAGTGGGGGTAAGTGGGAATTGAGTACTCGTCTTGCTCACTTTTGCTCTGTACCTAAACTGTTCTGAGAAGTAAAGTTCATTGAAAAAAAAAAAAAGGTAGTAAGTCAAAAGTTCTGGATTCAAACTGATTATTATTCTCACTCTGAACCCATCATCTACACCCCTTGTCTTCACTCGCTTTAGAACTGGAGACTTCCAGAGGGCAGCAGACCCCCAAGATGAGGCGTTCAGAGGGACCACAAACCAGACTGGAGGTCACCAGTCAACATGCAGATTGACAGCCTCCTGGGGTGCACCTGGGCCTGACCCCAGTCTAGGCATTAAGGGAACACCTAAGCAGTGACAGCCAGCGCTCGGACAGGCTGCAGCAGAAGCGCCCAGGCCCCCATGGACACGTGCCCCTGCTGCCAGAACTCAGCTCACAGTGATGAGTCTCCCCCAGACCCTGCTGAAACTGCCCCATGTCAGGCCTACTGGGCTCACGGGCATTGCGTGCTGGGGAGTGACAATGACAGATGCTGTCTACCTCCTTTCTAGAAGCCACTCCTGCTCCATGCTCCCAAAGTCCCCCCATGAAAGACACTGGGCAAGAACACATATGAGGTGAGTGGTTGGGTGGATACATCCTGACATCTCATGATTTGAACCAAACTACTGGCCGATGTCCCCAGGGTGCCTTGAAATCCCATCCGCTGTGAGCACGCCCCATCCCCAGCCCTCACCTGGGCACACGCACACTAGAGCCATGGGCTCACAGAGGCACTGGAGGGTGGGTGAGAACTGGCCGTGCAGAACCCTTGCGCGGGGACTCCATCACAGGCCCGTGGTCCCAGGAAGGCAGCAGGACCTCGGGTAGGGGGCGGACGTGTTGGCTGATGCCGGGGGATGTCTATCGGCAGCCCAGGGCCCCCATGTTCCTCGGAGAGCCCAGCTCTCCACCATCCTGGACATAAGTGCCAAGGGCTCCAGGGAGCTCTTATCTCCTTAAAGGCTGCATTCTGCTGTGTTCACGCACTCCTGGACAGGTTGCATCCTGCTTCATGGGCCCAGAGTCAGTGAGAGACCTTGTGTGCACTGGACCTTGGTGCCAGCAGCTGCTGCACCGTGATATCCTGAGCTGTCGCCACGCTAGGGGCTGGACAGATGTGGCAGAGCCCACATGGACTTGAAATTTATTTGAGAAAAGGGGAGGAAAGTGGGAGGGAATGAGAGAGGAAGAATTTTCTAATGACGCTGAATTGCCAGAAGCATCCAAGCAGCTCAACTTTGAGCACAGGAATGTCCCTTCCAGCAGAGGAAAGAATGGGTGCTAACCCTGCCTCTTCCTCCAGCCAAGGGATGTGGTAAGCAGGCTCTAGTCGATGGCTGGGCAACTAAAATGAAAGTAAAACTTCAGAGGGGTGATTTTTTGGAAGTTTCCAGAGGCCACTTGATTACCCAGTAAGTCTACTGTGGGAAATAACCATGTTTGTTTATTTAGGGTTATGGCCACTCTGTGGGCTCAGCAAACCTCTGAGCCCTCAACCTACATCATCCAGTGCCCAGTAAACATTGACTGGAACCTTCCATCTACCAGACGCTGCGGCACCCTCTCCCAGCTTCCAAGGATCACCTGAACACTCATTTACCTGCTTGTGAATGCTTGAGTTCATGACTCATTCACCCAACCTCTGCTGAACGCCTCCCATGGGCTAGGAAGTGGAAGGCGACTTCCGAGACCACTGTTCCCCTGTGCCCAACCCCAACCACCTGCTCTCCTCCTCTTCACCTAAAGCTTCATACAGGCCACACAGAATGTTGTCGAAAGCGTCTGCCTCGGTCCTTGAAATTGAGTCAGCCTTAAAGACACTGTCAGGAAAGTCAGCTGCTCCCACCTCTAGACCCTCAGACTCTGATGGTCCTGCCCTCTCCCAGGTGAGACCCTTCACCTGTGACATCTTTACCTAGTGAAGTAGGGCACCGTGAAACTACGGCCCATGCCTTCCCAGCTCCTCTCCTGTGTTAACCCTGTTGTCCCCAGGATTTGGAACTGAAACACTATTGGGCCCTGTGTTAGCCAAGCCGGGGAGACACGGGCAGGGCAGGAAGCCCCTGGCAGGACTTTCACCTCCTCTCTGTCTAGCCCTTCCCTGGTCTCACCCTGTCACCACCCAAGCTCCGCTCCTGTCGACCCCTCAGCCCACACATCCACATTACAGTTCATTTCCTTCCAGCTCTTCAACTTTCCTTTTAACCTTTTTCTTTGATCCCGAGATGTCCAGGACTTTAATCCCATTCCCACTCTTATCTCAAATCTCCAATGTCCTCACTGATCCCCCAAAGCAGTTGCTTTCTCCAAACCACACGTCCATGGTCACCCTTGGCGCCTTTCCCAGGCTGGACATCCCTGCCCTGTGTCTCCAAGGTGGTACTCAGTGGCCAAGCCACTAGTTATTAACAGCATTTATTCAAAGACATTGTACAAGAGGCTGGGAAGATGGGAATGAACCAAAAGCAGTTTTGTTCCCAGAAGAGAAACTGAAGAACCTGATGCCTTTCCTCCCCTGTCCACACCAGGCCAGGCCATGGAGAGTGAAGAGGAGCACGAGGAGGTAGAGGACTGAGCATGGGTCCTGGCCCCACCTCAACCCCATCGAGGGCGAGGGCGAGGGCGGGAACCCAGACTGAGGGTGCCTGCTGTGTCCCCTCTCCCTCGTGGGGGGAGCTGCGTTCCCGCTCGCTGCCTTCCCATCACACTGCTCACTCACATGCCAGCTGGGGTAAATGCATCCTCTGGCTCTGTGGGCCCAGGAAGAGCTAAGCCCGGATCAGGTAGAGAGCCCCGAACCGCCCGACTTGGAGCCCCTGGGTGGGACTGGGTGGCTGCCCCTTCTGGAGGGTGAGGGCCTTTGAGGCACACTGTGGCCGTCTTATGTCACAGGGCATGGACATCTGTGCCTTTACTTCTCTCTTTTCAACTAGATGGTGAGTTCCTGCCGCCTGAGCAGGTGTGGCTGTGTCAAGGATTGGACGAGGAAGGGATACCTCAAGCAGAGCGCCTGTTCTGACTTACATACAAGCAGCTGGGGAGGAAACCACAGCAATCAAAGGAACCCTTTAGACTCCTTGGGAGGGGCCAGCCACTCCATGGACCGAGCATCTCCCAGGGCCCTTTCCCTGGCCTTCTCCAGCCTTACAGCCGCCTTCTGTTCCTTGAGCTGCTGGAGCCCTTTCCCTTAACCCTTTTGCTCCTGCTGTCTTCTTTCTGGAAGACTCTTCCCTGCGTGTCTGTATGGCTCCTTCTGCAGCCCCTGCAGAGCTCTGCTCAACTGCACCTTCTCTGTGAGCATCCCCGACCACCATCTATAAAATCATGCACCCCCCTTCACCTCCCACCCCCCTGCCTTGCTTTATTTTTCCCTTCTAGCACTTACCATCTTTGGCACCTTAAGTGTATTTTGCATTTTTGTTTAGCCAAATTCATTTCATTTTATCGACTGCTTCCCTCCACAGGTATATAGGCTTTGCCAGCTCGGGGCTGTCTGTTTTAATGCTGGATCCAAGGTCCCAGTCCATGCGAGTCAAAACCCACGGCTGATGGTTACTCGTACATGAGGGATGAGCCTTGTCACCTGCTCTCCTCACACACGCTCCTGTGAACACACTTGGAACTGAGGTCACCCAAGGGAGGCCAGGGTAGTTGTTACCTGCCTGAGGTAACAACAACTCTTCCCCACTCCAGTACTTCTGGTTGAGCTGCCAACCAACCAGCACCTTACCCACCAGCACCTCAGTCACCGCCACAGCGGGCAAGACCCAGCCAGGCTGATCCCATCACTACATCCCAGACAAGGCTTGGTTTGAGAATGGTTACTTGACTCAACCCCAACTATTTAGAAGTTTCTTGAGACAGATTTTTCTCTAAGATGAGCTCTTTTTGTCAGCAATGCTGAGCCTGGGAGCTGAGCCTTCCTGCCCAGACATAAAGAGTCTTGTCTGGAGAATGAAACAGAGAAGAAGCAATCAGAGCCAAGAGATGGGAGGAAACCACTCTCAAGATACAGTTTGTGGTCCCTGAAACCCATCTCTTCTCACCCAAATTCACCTCTGGTTTTTCTCTATCTCTTTCTTTTCTTTAAAGATTTACTTATTTATGTTTACAGAACTGGGGTACAGGCCAGAGGTGCAGAGGTGGTGAGAGGATTCACCAGAGACAGCTGGGAGCAGAACAGGCAGATCGACAAAGTACACTGCTGAGGGGAGCAGCGGGTGGGTCAGGAGAGGTCTGCCGCAACACGCCATGTGGATCACCTTCGGGGCAGGGATCAAACTTGTGCTGAAGTGGCTTTAGCTTCTTAGTGCTGTGCTCTAACCTGCTGCGCCACCAGGGAGGGCCCTTTCCCCATCTCTTTAACTCGGGCTTTCATTTGTTTTTTTGCTTAAATTTGTTTGAGGTGGGTGTCCTTCTCCAATAACTGAAAGTTCAGAGATAGAGTCCTTCAGAAAATTATTCTCCAAAAGTAAAAGACAAATTGTGAAAACCCAACACTTGAGCCACGGAGGGCAAGGACAGGGTGTGGGGCAGCCATTCACTCCAAGCCATGGGCCCCTGACCAGCGGGCAGGTCACTCCCTGCTGGGGGTGGGGGGCAGGGCTGTGATCAGGCTGGGGAGCAGCGAGGGGTTCCAGCCAGACTGTGGCTCAGGAGGCCCTCGGCTGCCCTGGCAAGGCGCAGGGGGAGGGGAATGCGAGCGACAGCCTGATGGCTTGCTCCCTCCCACAGCCCTGCGTTCTCCCAGGGAAGCTCCAGGCCGGCTGAGGCGCTGCCCCAA